AAATATGCTTACAATCCCCAGCATCTCCGACTTATCCCATCCCCAGACCCTCCATCTATTTCACCCACTCCCCGAATACCAAAACCCTCAGCCCTCAATCCCAGCCCTCCGCACCAAACCCCAAATCCGGACCCTGACCCTGAAAATTGCAAATCGTGATTTCCGAAACCCCGCTCACATGCCCAAACTGCACGCCGAGTTGCCACGAACTTGCTTTCGTGCTGGTCGGGCGTCTGGGCAAGACTCATTTCTTTCAGTTGCAATTAGAGGAACCCCTCCAAGACTTGTCCCATGCTGTTCGCTAAATGCCATCTTGAGGGCCTGGCTCAAGTGAAGGTCCGAAGATCAAAAGCAATCGGGGCTTCAGGCTGGCTACGGTGTTGAAAGCTTGCTCAGGCCCGAAGGGGCATTCGCAAGCGCATCAGGAAAATGACATGGGAACAGGATGCAAGGAGCGGCTCTCCACGAGCTTTCGGGCATAAGGCTTCAGGGTTTGCCAGTCCAGAAACATCAAACCCTGAACATACCCACTGCTGCAACCCGAGAAAGTCTTCCGAAACCCCGTGCAAAACCAGCATAACACTCCAGGCAGGCGACCATCTCAATGTGCCCCAGTGACCTGAGGGAAAAACAACAATAGAGTCTGTTAACTCGATATCAGATGGCCGATGCTGCTGCGACTGCTACCGTTAAGTGCAGTTCAGCCACCAGCCCCGCAGGAAGCCGCGCTGGGCTGCACGGAGGATAAACATGTCTGGGAAGCCCTCACAAGACTAGGACCCTAAAGCCCGAGTGCGTACAAGCCCCCAAGGCCAAAAAATTAACCTAAACTGCATCTTAGAGCCTGTAGCTGTGCTTGCAGGTGACTTGTGGTCGGGAAAGCCTTGAACATTGAATGCAAGTTCCAAGACAGTGAGGAATCGCCACAAGGGCTCAGGTTACTGTTCAAACCAGCGGGGTTTGGGTTTGAGAAGTTCGTTCCGCAAAAATGAGGGGGGGGCGCCCTGGCGCTTTCATCTTGCTTTCATACGAAGCTGCCAAATATCTCTAGGTTTTGAGCAGCACATAGCAGCACCAACAGAAGGAGACACCTCGTTGTCGACCAGAAAACTTTGTCAAGGTCGGGCACGACCTCCGATAGAGCACACGCACAAAGTCAGCGAACAGTGCCGTTCGCTCTCGCGGCATACTGTTCTTGAATAAAAACTTACAACCCAAAGTGCAAAACGCAAAAAAGTGGGACATTGCAAGAGCCGTCAGGCCAAGAACACGTTGTCGGAGCAAACAGCAAGCGACTACTTAAATAAGCAAAATGGGTTTGTTGGGAGCTTTCAGGGTTTAGGTTTCTTAGGTGCAGTGGGAGTTTCTGAAGTGTGTTGAAACTTAGGGCTTGATTGGGAACATATGCATAGCTTCGTAGGAGCTTACGACCTCTGAAAGGAACGCCTTTCTAGTTGCTTTGGGTCCTTTTGCCGTAGAGTCCAACCCGAACTTCACGCTGAAAGCAACAAGAGAAGTCTTGCAAAACTCCACGTATTCCTACAACCATCATCTACAACCCCAAACCCCACAACAACTGCCTAAATCGTGAATCCTTCAAAGCGTCTTTTCTGAAGCCCGCAGCGTCC